CCCCCCCCCCCAATCTCAAAGTGACCCACACCCACGTTCATTGTCAAATGCGGGGGAACACAGTGACCCTTCTGCACAACACTGACAAAGGGCTGTTCTATACATCCGCATTCTTTAGGTGTGGATTCTCCAACACACCCCAGCAATGGGCCTGTTTAAGTGGCTGAATTAAATTAGACCACCTAGCAAATTTAAATCAATCAATCATACACCTTCTTGTCACATCAGTTGATACAGATGTAGAGATGAGTGAAAATCTTATATTCTCGTGCAATTAAGAGATAATGATTCTGCAGCTCTAATTCATAAGTGCCACACTAAAGCTGGCCAATTGATCAAAAATTAATCAAAACCGACATTCAGAACCACTAATCGACGTTATCTTGCCCATGTCAGTTACTTCGGTTTTTTTTTTTTTTTTAATTCTTAATACCTCTTCTAAATCTGTTAATACTTCCCGCAGTGTGTGTTCATGTACTGTCCCTTTAAAAACACACTGTCACGCGTGTCGTCACATGACTCCACACTGTCGTCACATGACTCCACACTGTCCAATCTGTGACATGGAAGCAACATGGAGGCAAACTCAAATATAAGGAGCATGCGCTGACCGCGCGTTGCCACAGCCACCACACGACGAACCACCTCAGGGATGAGAACCCGAGTGCAGCCATGTGGCAGGCGATACCTCAGCACCACACTAGTCCGAATGGAACAGCGCGAGTTTTTTTCCCCGGTGCCTGGACTGCCAGTCCTGCCACTAACCCCCAAAGTTGGAGGACCTGCTTGCAGGGCTGGATGTAGATTAACATCATACCCGTGACGAAGCAACTGCAGGTCAAGGGCCTTTGCTCAAGGGTCCAACAGAGTAGAATTACTCCTGGCAATCATGAGATTCAAACCAGCAAACTTTGAATTGCCGGAACAGATCCATAGCCTGAGCCACCACGCCGCCCACTGAAATAGCTGTACTGTAATTTGAAATAACCAATAAAATTTTGCAAATAGCATGTCTTATTGCCTCATGTAATAAATAAACAAATGTCTATTAGATGGTAATCTGCATGAGACGGAAAGGAAAAGAATAGTGATCAATTTCACCCAATGCAAACTATTTATTTTATGTTTTTCTAGGGAGCTTTACATTAAATTAGATTTTTACATTAAAACTAAAATGTGACCTTTTCCATAGGACCATTTTAAGTGATTTGTGCTTTGATTTCAGCTGCCTGAAATATTCAATAAATAACCATAAATGGTTCATCTGTGTGTTTCCTTCAATTATTTTTAAATCATACCAATAAGATATAGTCTTTCATTAAAATATCCCAGCTTTAACAGTTCAGCATATTCACAGTACAGACCTTGTCAATGAAACAAGAAAAAGAGAGCAAGAAACAAACAAAAAATAATAATAATAATTGTTCTTTAATTGTAATCGAGGTAAAATGTTCAATTAATCGTGATATTGATTTGAGGTCAAATGACCCAGCCCTATGCCACACTAAACTTCACGTTGATTTAGAGGGATTATGAATAGCCTTGACAGGAACAGATACTGCACGTTATCTTGGGCAAAAGGCCCAGAAGCGATTTTCAACAGAGACCGAGAAGACCCGGGAACTCCAAAGTCCAGCATTCCTTTCAGTACGTAGCAAAGCCCCTCCCACCATCTAGCGCCAACAGGAGAGACAGGCATGCATCAGCCAGCGCTGATGTCCAACCCTCCCGCCAGGCAGGGGCAATCATACGGCCGCCTGGTCACATTTCTTAGACGGTAAAAGGCTGGACTCCTCACCAAGATCTGGACATTAATTAGACACAACTCGCTAACTGAATTATGCCCATATCTAAAAATAGTGACGTATTGTTGCTGACTCGGGGAAGTTCACTGACGGACCCCGACTAATACCAAGACAGAGAAACGGCGTTCAGAAATTAAATACGCATAAACATGTCAACAACGTGTATATCACTACACGTCCCAAGTAGTTTGCGACAGAGACGGCCAGGAAACTGTTTTTTCATGCATATCTGGCCTGCCATCAATATATCTTGGGCAGCAAACGTAACCGCAGTGGTTTTTAATTCCAGAAATGTATGCAGTAACATCAGCCGGGACCCTGTGCTTTTAATAACAACTTCAAACTTACTTTTCTAACTTGGATCAAGATATGAATAAAACAGAAGGGAAATCTTAGATCAACGCTGCATGGTTTTTACTACAGCTGAATTTAGCAAAACACGTCGCTATAACTAGTGATTCATTCAACTTATGCATAAAACCTACAGATAGCGATTAGGCATATCTTATTGATAAACTAATCCAATGCCAGCAGGGAGAAACTGCAAGATTCGAGCTAATAAACTAATAATATCGGCTGACTTCAGACGTGTGACAGGGCAGCTAAACACAAACACCACCGTTTTATGATGGCTGAGTAAAATGACTCATGGTACCCTGACCATGCACGACCGCATAAGGACTCCACTTCGTGTCATTCACATACACAATGGTCGTTTTAATTAGCACTAAAACTGTAAATGCAACCAAAAACAGGTATTGTTTATGAAGATGGCGAATCGGAGTCCTTTTAAAATTACTGCCACTTTTAGCGGTGAGCCGAGCATCTCCTGTCTTAAAATGAGGACCACAAGTTTTATGAAGACTGGATTTGGAAGGGCACCGACATGCAGGCTGCATCCGGACGGGACCCCTGTTTAATACCCCGGTCGCACTTCACGCTGTCCCTACGGATCGGCACTAGGGCCGTCCACTCCACTAATACAAGCAACCGACGGGTTACGACCTATATTTAGCCAAGTTGTCACGCACCTCCACCGATAACCATCGGAGTTCACACCATCTGTTTTTCTGGGAAAGCGGCATTACAATCGAGATTAATGCTGATAAAGCCACAGATAAAAAAAATTCACAGAGCACTATCAGAAATACCTGCAGAGACACATATCTGGCACAGGGGTAACATGCAATAACCTATTTTGCATGCATATAAATAACATATTATGCCTAACATTTTGCATATATGCATAACCTATGGCAGCTTCAGACATTCAAACTGCGTACATAAGTAGCCGTGATCAGTTATTTTTTTTCACAAAATCAAGATAAAGACAAAACATATCTGATTATTGCGCATATCATACATATCCATGTCCTACACAAATAGAAATATATATGAAAAGAAAAGAGCGACCTACACGTAGGCAATTACGTGACTATCGACGATTATAATTTACAAGACAGCACTGAAAGGTAGAGACTGAAATCAGTATGTATTTAACTTGTTTTCTCTCGCCGATTAACAGTCCGCTCGCTGCCCGATCGCAGCACTGGTATCCCGGCTGCTTCTCTTAGCTAACACTCGGGCTTGGGAGGCCTCCGAGGCCGTCCACATGCAGCAAAATGAAATGCAGCTTTTCTGAAGCGCTCACCTGCATGGAGTCCGCGCTGATAATCTCGCCCTGGACACGTTTTGCTATTTCAATGGCGAGCTTGGATTTGCCCGTGCCCGTAGCTCCCAAAATCACCACCAAAGGGGGTACGACTTGTTTCTTCACGGCGCGGCGCATGGCGACAGAGGCGGCCGCCATCACTGCGAGCCCGCGGTCGGCGTGCCGGGCATGCGGAGTACGATCCGAGAGCAGCCCCGCGCCGTAGCCTGGTAACGGGAAGCCGTTTCCATGGTTACCTGGATGGAGGTCCTCCGAAAATTGGCAAATGGGATGAAGCAAGAGATATAATTTTCCACCAAAAGACAAAAAAAAACATCATATTGATCAAAGAATTTAGTGTACATGTTTTGTTTTTCATATAATGTAATTCTGCGGAACTTTACACTTGTTTTTTTACACATTTTTTTCAATAAGTTGCACGACATATCCATATTGCAAATCGTCCGACTTTAGAAATAAATCGCACGTGCAGCATTTTATTTATTTTGTGTCGTTTGTTGTGCAAGTATCCCTAATAACTAATTTATTAGAAGCGGTGGACATTGCTTCGCACCTTCCGTAAGACTTGAGTATGAATAGCCCAGTTCAGGTTGCCGTAGAAACGAATTTTTTTGAGTCCTGTAAAGGAGAGGATGCTCGTTACCATGGCGAGAAGCTTGCATGACGTATCTCCGTGGAAACGCCGCACGGGTATGAAAAGCCTGTGACCAGCATAAGGACCCTCGGTTAAACGGGTACTGATAAGCACGTTTGGTGTCCGTACTGCGTCGTCACCGTTGGTCCTGGCTGTGTTGATATCGTTTAAATTGAACGTAGCAGAACGAATCCATCATGTTTGGTTAAAAGCAAATTGTTAGGTCTTGCCAGAAAGACTGAACATTTTACGTGCTGTTAGCGTAATCAGTTATATGTTATAGTCATCGTGTAATAATATTCTCCGCTTTAAATTAAGCTAATGGAATCCCTGGGAAATTGAAATCGATTTGGGAAAGAATGTCTTATACATTTTCACACAAGTTACCTTCCATGTGTCTTATGAATCCTATATATTTTAATAAACATTTTGTGTTTAGTCAAAATAAATTACCGAGGCAACGTACAGACCGAGGTAGCGAAACATTTGCCTGCCATATTAGCATATATATATATATATATATATATATATATATATATATATATATATATATAGTGGTTTAGGTACTTTGTCAGGAAAAAAATATAGGCCTGGTTCAAGTTTGTACAATTGGCAGACCCTTGAGGGAACAGCCCCAGGAATTGTACCCTCAAATGTATTGATCGGTACTTTTTTCCTGAAACTGTATATTTTGCTCAAATAAAAATAAGTTCCAGGCTTAAGAGCAAAATTGTTTTATACAAATACATTTACAACAGTATAAATATCACCAGTTAAAAGTGGGAATTGTTCTGTATCATCTGGCATCATGGTCTCCCACAGATGATTGGATTAGGAATTAACACCTATTACAGGTTATACCATAGTAATCGTGTTGGTGATTGTGGGCCAACCATCATAATGCACCAACAAAGTCTCCCTGAAGAGGGGCTTCCATTGTGAACTATGATTACCTTAAACCTTATGCTTTTACTTACCCAAGGCCTGACCACAACGCTAACCGGGATGAACAGGGGGAGGTGATGATTTTGTTCACTTTAATTTACATGTCCACTCTAAAGAGTCAGTATTCATCATGTGCAACAACAAGAGGCCAGCATCACTTTCTCTATTTATTTTTCTCAGTATTTTTTTTCATGTATGTTTTTATGAGGTACTGAACACAAAGTGCTAAAATATGGCTGCAGCCATTCTACAGTGACATAAGCAACCCAACTGCATATATGAATAAGCATACTCCACAGACAGTATAAGAATCCATCTGCAGACAACAGAAATTCCTTAAACTTTGCAGTCTTAGCCAATAAGGTGACATGTGCTGGACTTGGGCAAAATACACGGCGACTACATCTCCGAGGTACAGAGAACTGGCAGGTAGATGTAGCAGAAAAGATACAAAAGGCCCGGTATGGACCCTGTGGATAAAGGCCATCGCTAAAAGGGAATTTTATATTATATTATATGCTTTCGACCTGCAGGCATACCTTTGAGATGCAGCTGAAACAACTTCTCAAGATTTCCAGGAGAGCGATTAAAAAGCTTTCCTCCAGTTTGTTATTTTTTCTCCTTGGCCAATAGGAAAAGTCTTCATGCAGTTTTGTAAAGCTACCAACAATTAGCATCATTAGTATGACTGTACAGCTGCCACTGTAATACACAGCAGCCAATATTAATCGGGTGCAATTAAACCACAAGTTAATTGAGGGGGAACGTTACGGAGTCAGGGCATGTCTCTGCTTGAGGAAACAACCGGCTCCGTGGGTCTGGACTAGTTTTCGACCAGACTTGGCTCTATAATCGCTTTACTAGTACTTATCTGAATAGCAAGTCATTTGATCTGCAGTTTCAGTTGTCTTTGAGTCGCTAATGCAAAAGGCTATCGAGATCCACAGTCCAGCACTTGACACCAGAAAATCATACATTTAAATGAATATAGGACCGCTCTCCACAAACACATTGTAGGAAAATATAGTATAAAATTGTTCTGTATTATTCAGACTCTATACAAATCAATAAACCAAAAAGTGAAATTAAAAGTACAGGCAGTGGCAAGTGTCACAAAGTGTCTAGTGTGATTGAAGTAAATAGTGTTATTTTGTTGATTTTTAATTATTTCTTAACAAAAATAGAAGCTTTGACATATATCTTGGTAAATATTTTTGACAGATCAACAGTTTGAGACCACCTGGGGGCTAAGGGACAATGAAAATTGTCTTTGAAAAGTCCTGGTGAATGGCAAGCATACTTATTTACAGAAGAATCCATACAGAACAAGCATTCATATTTTATATACAGAGATCTTTACATATATATACACACACGACTCTAAAAGATATTGTTCCTTAAGGATGTTGCTAAAGATACACGATTGTTTGAATAGGAAGAAAAGCTGTACCCCAACTACCTAAAACATCATAAGATGCACGTGGTATAGGTGACAGCTTTTGTACTGGACCACTGTTCTCAAAGACCATCGCAAATTGAAACTGATTATTAAAAGCTATTTCTCAAACACCACTAAACCTGTCTTACAAGTTAACAAAGACGGATTTTGTTGGGTTTTTTTTTTTTGGTTAGATAAACACGTTTTGAGTAGTAATGCGTTTGATTTTCAATGGAAAAAAAAATCTTCTTAAAGTTCTGTCTAAAAGAGTTTAAAGACTATATTTGCTTAGGGTTTTTGCATCACTAAAATTTAAACACTCAGGCAACAGACAGCCTTTTCTCTTCAGGAAACCCACATGGTTTTCAAAATGGTTCTTCCTGGCAAGATCTATGCACCGACCAGGGAGCAGGAAGAAGGGATTATAATTATTTAATAACTTTGGATGGTATGCAGACCACACATCTCTCACATTATTGAATGAAATCTGAATCGTCGATCATGTCATACCGAGCAACCAATTCCTTCTCCCTTAAGACAACCATTGATCTAAAGCAAATTTGTGCAAAGACAAATGAAAACTAGAAAAACTAAAGAAATCGAATCCCCCCCACCAAAAGAAAAAAAAAAACCCACTCTCTCTGCTTCATCAGTGTCATGTGAAAAAGCATCATTTCAACATTGATTTTTTTTATTTTTTACATCCCCATGAGTCTGGTCACCCGTCCCGGAGCAGCCGCCCATCGCCTCACGGCCGCTTCAAGTCCGCCAGCTTCCTGAGGAGCTGCTGCTGGCGTGATCGGAGCTGCTTCTTCTCCTGCGCCTGGTGTCGCTCGCTGGAGTGCAGCAGACGCAGGTACTCACGGGCCTTGGTCAGGATCACCACCTTTGGGGTCTTGGGGCAGTCCACCAGACTGGGAATTTGGTCCCGCAGGGCCAGGAAGCGGGATCGCAGGTCATTGCGACGCTTGCGCTCCAGGTAATTGTGGGTCCTCCGGCGGTCAGAGTCCTCGCAGTCGGAGCTTTGGGGGCTGCTGGGCTGCGACTTGATGCATTGGTGCGGCGGAGAGGCGGCGGCGGCTTTTCCCCCGGGGCTCTTCTGTGGAGACGGTGAGGGAGACTGCGGCTGGTGGTGCTGAGGCGGGGCTTCCTGCCGAACCCGTTTCCGGGGCGGCTCGGGTTCCGGCGGGCTGTCGGGCGATGGCGCAGCGTAGTTATGCTGCTGCTGGTGGATTGATATGTGGAAGCGCTTCATGCAGGGGTCATGGGGGTCGGCCCGCACGGTGATGGTCACCGGCTTACGCCCCCCCACCAGTCTCCCTTTATTCTGCTTGCTCTCCACCGTCACCACGTCGATCTCCTCCTCATCTGCAAAGAGCATCAGTTACAGCTAGACAGCACATAGGCTACCGGCGCAAGTAGGGGTCTGTCAAACCACCATCATCATCATCATCATTGTCATGATAATACCAGCAACATCTCCTCCTCCTACACCACATGCTTTACTAAAACCATTCAGCTGCAAATTCATATTGATGTATTACAGCGGAAACCCTTCATGCAGAGGTGCTGTGAATGAGTGCCGAGCTGCGATGGGAAGCACAGAGCTTGGGCCGGTTCCGCTGGGCGCCAAGGTGGCTGTTTGGGGGAGGAGCATAGCCTTGCAGAGGTCAGAGGTCAAATCCAGCTCTGAAAAATTCAACTTCATAGGATTTGCTCTAAAGCAGTGTTTACCAATCTGATCCTCGGAGACCCGCTCCAGGGGCTGGGAGGGAGCAAAAACATGGACCGTCTTTGCGTCCCAAAGGACCAGACTGGGAAACACTTCTCTACAGGACCATTTCCTCTGGACCATTAAGTATTTAATTCACAACATTAAAATAGGCTATTTACCCAAAACTGAAAAGGGACGGAGCTTCAGCAAATGATGCAATCAAGTGCTGTTCCTTTCCGTTAAAAAGAGGAGACCTGAAACCCTCAGTGTTGCCACTAAAACAATAAAAATAGATTTTAAGAAATTGCTTTAGGTCTGTTCCCAAGGAAACTTCTCTTTAAGGTGCTGATTGGGTTAATCTAAATTTGAAATTAGGGACAAAATCAGGTCGGGGGTGTTGAGCCTGGTGCTTTGTTAGGGTTGAATAGCTCTTTCAACAACACAACACTTTCACAGCCTATAGAAAAGGAGGCTCTTGCTCCGCCTTGCAGAGGCTTCCCTGCTTTTTTTTGGGGGGGGGGGGGGTCGATGGTGGGGGGGGGTGCTTTCTCAACACTCCTGTGACGCATGTTTTGTTGTTGCCTGCATTGTGCTCACCTCCAAAAATCATTTACTTAGAGGGGGGTATTTTGAGTTTAAATCAGCTATAAACTTTTGGGCATATGGTACAAAACTGAAGGATTGTGCTGGGAAGGACCTCAAACTGATCAGAAGCACAGCTGCGTGTATTAAAAGGCCGAGTTACTTTTGTTGACACTGTGTGGGTCAAGTCCCACTTATGGCAATCCTTCAGTCCCTGGCTGAATTGGCTATTAAGGAAGGGGGTGTGTTGGGATGGGGGGGGGGGGTTTCCATAAACAAGAAATAGAGAGACCTCTAAAGGAACGAGGGACCCCCCAACTCCCTGTCTGGCTATTAGTGAGGTATTACACAATATATATTTTTTTTTTATAATCTCTCAATTGGTGACTGGGGGCGGGGCACAACACTTGTTTTGTTTTTACTAAGTCAGGAAATTAAAGTCTATAGAAGTAACAAAACCTTCATTCCAAGGCAACCCCAAGCCCATGTTAATTGAAGACCATCTTTGTCACATTAACACCTGATGCTTAGGATTCGTCATTCCAGGAATAGCCGAACACAGGCGCCATGAGCTTAATTTCCCCCTTCTGCCAAACGTGCCCTGTAACTCGAGTTACTCTACCGAGACTGTGCCCTGAGCTCGGCACACTTGTTAACAATGATCAATCTACGGCAGAGATGGGAGTCCCTTACCGGAGGAGTCGGTGCGTGATTCGGTGCCGGACGACGCCTGCTTTTTGCAGTTGCCGATCGGGAAGGTGAGCACCGCCGTGGGGTCCACGCAGTCAGTCGCCAGCCCGTGGTGAGCGGCCGGCGCATCGTGGGGCGCACACTGCGCCTTTGCCGCATGGTTTGCGCCGGTCTGCGCGGTCAGGGGCGGCTTGGTCTGCACGGCCCGTCGCTCACTGACAACTTTCTCCAGCTGCCTGCTGGCGGAGAAACTGCTCCACATGCAATCCTGGATGATGATGGAGCTCAGATTGCCGAATATCTCCTCGGTATCGATTTTGTACTCGCCCTCCTGCTCCTCGTCCTGTCCCAGGAACTGAGTGACCCACTCCAGCCTGTCGCCCGGCGGCATGCCGGCACCCTCTGGAGTCCTGGAGGGAGACACGGGCGGGGTTGGCACCAGTTCGAATTTTTTCCAGATGTCCTCGCTGGGTGCCGTAGATTTGTAAAAGTCTTCGTCCAAGTGATGGTCGTCGTAGAAATAGTGCTGATACCGATCGTGCTCCATGTCCCAGTTCTCATGCCGCGATGCGCTCGAATTGATCCCGGGCATCTCCAACCTCTCGCCCCTCCCTCCTACCCCGCAAACCCCTCACTTTATCACAATCTGCGGGGGGACAAAAAAGGTGACAGGTGGCATTAGACCAAATCGCATAGCTGCCCAGTGCAAAAACAGTTCAAACCATTACCTCCTATGCTGACCTAACCAGTTACAGGGAGTTGTATACATACGTAATCGCAAAATGAAATACTAGCGGAGCAGAGACGCACCAAGCACCATAAGCGCGTAATCAATTTAATGAACCAGACAGCGACAATGGCTATGTATAATTAATTGCCGTTAGCTAGCCATGTCTTAATTAAAGCGCTGGTTTGGAGAAAGCTCAGTGCGAATGGATCCAGGCGTCCTTCGCGCAGTCGGCACACACTTGTCGTGATCCACTTGTAAACTTTAGTTTCGCAATTCGCTATGGGCTACATTACACAAGGCTTCATTGTAACAGGGAGTCCGCCACCTCCTCTGAATTGTGCTGCTCTTTACTCCTAAATGGTGGAACGGGCAGATCCTGTAGGTAAAAATGGTACTTTGCACCGTATTCTGAAATGCTTAACTACAATCCGGGGGGAAAACACACTCACCGGTTCGCTTGCCACAAAATCTAACGTTTTAAGAAGCATCGAGAATGATTGAGGTAAAGCAGCCACCCCCCAAAAGAAACACCAGCGTATGATCTTCAGCCTTGTCAGGCGGCAACCAAAAAATACACGATCTTGCTCTTTTTCCCTCCTCTGTGCGAGGTGGGCGTCAAAACACAGACGGATTAATATCCAATATCAAACGTGGAAAAAAAAAGTTTGAGTTGAAAATGCCTGGATTTTCGGTTTTCACAATGGAAAAAAATTAAAGCAAACTTTTACATATTTCTGCTTTTATTCCAAAGAATAGTTTTTCTCTCCGCTGCGTTGTTGACTTACGGCTGAGATTAAACCGGCCTCTGACTCTAAATGACAATCCTTAACCGGTCTGCACCGAAAACAAGACGAACTGCGCCCCACGCCACAGCCTTATTAAACTGTGAATAGTTTAAAGGACTGCAGCTCTATTTGATCGGCGAGAAAAAGGAGCCGGACCCAGTATTTGCATAAACGCGCGGCCACGCCCTCGCTTAAAGCTACAGCACCGCTGAGTAATTGCTCCTTATTGCCGTGCAGCGTCTGTTCATTTCGTGCTGGCTTCACCTGAGCCGATACACCCTTCTCTAGTGACGTTAATAAGCAGCTGTTTGTGGACAACCACAACACGCATAACCGCCCGTTTTGGTCGCCTGCAGTATTTTACTATAAGTTGTGTATCAACCGCGTTATAGGTAAATTAAAAACCACCAGCGGGGAAAACTGATTTTTCAGTTCTTTGCTCCTATCGCGACCTCAGTATGGTCTCTGTTACTGCGGCGTGTCTGGGTGTTAATGGTAGAGGACGCGATGATTTTATTTTCCCAGTATATCAATCATCCATATGGTCAATGGTTTAAATTGATCTGTAATAAGTATGTTCCCACTAAAGTAATATTCGAATACAGATCAATAGTATTTTTAAAATATACTTGAAAGAATAAACGAAATACAATATATCCACGATGTTCCCCTTCTTTCTGCTACTTATAGGCTGCACGTTTACTAGATACTGGATGCATATGAACGGAGGCTTTTAATTGCCCCACTTAATGCACATAAATTATGTGAACTTTGATTCTGTAAGAGATAGTGATAAGTATTCAGTATGATCATAATGTCCATCAGCTAACTCTGCCCTATGCTGACTTTTGTTTTGAACCCTATTTGAATAAAGAATGTTAATATTTCCAGGATACAAGAATCTCCGATTCCTGCTCGAAGAGTAATACGGGTATGTCAGAGCAAATAAAGTATCGTGGTAATTATCTGGCCTGGATTGCTTGTGCACTTCTGACAGTAGTAGAAATGGCATTCAGTTTAATTAGGATTAATCAACTATTCAATTACTTAATTGCTTGAGTGCTCAGTTGCTCATTTACATCTGAAAATGTATTAGCATTCTTAGCAGGACAAGCATACAACATAAAAAAGCATTCTCTAAAGAATTTAGAACTACTAAGATAAGTGAATTGAATTCATTTCGAAACTTCAACATGCCTAATTAAATAAATAGTGCCGTTATTCCACAAGATCAGGGTTATATGTCACTGACATTTGTCTTCCAATAAACATCACTTTCTTTTTTGTAAGTGGAGCTAGTGAACAGCGCTAAAATGTTTTTATCAGAGATATTATATGTAATGTAATTCATTTAAAAAAATAAGCAGTAAAAAGCCACTTAAATGTCATTCTCTGTCCTCCCCTGGAATCTCGCCCCTTACAGGGAATGATGGTCTGACAGGGTTATTGCCGCCGGTCCACCTTGATACATGTGTTTGTGTGTGACTGTGCAGAGAGGTGACCGGAATTTGTGAATCACAGGGCAAGGTCCAGCCTCGCATGTCAATGCATTCCCATCAGCCGTACTCGCAGTCACTTTCAGAGGAACGGGCCATTCTTTCGTGCTTTGTTACCACCGGTAGATGCATTTGCACGACACACAAAGGAATTCTCACCTCCTAATGCTCGAACGACGGCCTGCTAACCAATGTACAGGAGCGAAGGTCAGTTATCCCTATTGACAGAGCAGCCCCTCAGTCAGACTGTCTTCCAAACATGCATCGCTACTCTCGCAGAAATGCTGCATTCCATGCGACGGCTGCTCACAAAAGCCTACTGCCCTGGCCCTCCGGGACTTGTGAACTACTAGTTTGGGATTAATTCCCATTTTGCATGTGTAAAGCTGGAAACGCTGCTGGAACCCTCCACCAACCCCCCCTGCATCCCTGAGGGACAATGGGCAAGGTATGTGGGGCCGTGGAGCACTCCAGCAGATTAGTGAGATGTTTAGAAGCCTACAGAGCTAATTACGGAGTCCGTCCTCAGGGCTATAAGCTTTTCAGCCCGCTGCAGCTGTACAAAAATGACAAATCAGCTGGAAATTAAAAATTATATATTCACGGTGTTACTTTTATGCTGGCCCCTCCTCCCTCTGGTTACTGCTTTAGTAAGAACATGGGATCAGATTCTTTTTCTCAAATGAAAAGAATCTACACTAAATGTCACCAATGGTCCCAGTATGACACGTGAAGACATCCCATAATGCACTGCTTGGGCTCTGCCTACGTACAGCCAGCAGGGTTTATACTGCACCTTTTGACCTGAGGCAAAAATCGGTTAAAATAACAATGATGTAATGTTATCAAACTGTATGAACCGGTAATCTTTACAAATACGGAAGTTACTTTGGAGGAAGTCTGTTACACAAATCAGGAAGGTATGTCACTCTGGGTAACACTATATCAGTTGTCCTCCTGAAAAAAATCCTGGCCCCCGCAACACCTTTCGTTGTCTCTCTTAAATAAAGTTTCATAAAGACTTTAAATGCTTCCTGTCCCAACCGCACTCACAACTCTGCTCTTCAGTCATTGCCTTATCTTTTGCTTCATCTTTTAGATCCTCACTGCTTTAGGTTTGTCTGGGCTGGGGGGCTGGGGGGCTGGGGGTCACTGCTGTTTGTTGACCCTTAGAGCTGGGATCCAAACGGCCGGGCAAGTTGAAAGGTCCAGAAGACCAGAGCCGCAGTACAGCCAGGACAAGCCAGTGGTTGCCCAGGAAAAAGGGTGAAACGTCAAGGTCACCCTGTATCCTCTTAGCAGCTTTTGTAGAATTTGGGAAGAGCCACAGCCAAAGGTGGAGGAGGTACGATAGCAAGGATGGATGCTGCACAAAATTCTAACTTATCCCCTTGAAAAATCACTAAACACCTATAATTCTTAGTTATACTGGAATGACTGAATTGCTACAGGTCTCTGAAAACCAATAAATCTGACTGGACTCTTTTTAAAATGTTTATTTAAGTTCCTTTAGGGTAAGCTCTCCAGCAGGTCACACATCCCCCCCCCCTTTCCTTCCTGGAATCCTTAATAAGTTCCTCTAGCGTGGATCCTGCAGCAGACGCTACCTAATCTGTTACACTGACTCCACCAGACATCTGTTGGCATATATGAGACTGGAGGACTGTCCATCAGCTAGCTGCTATCATGCAGGAAATGGAGCTGAAATATGAGTGTCAGTGCCGAGTCGTGACCTTCAGGATCCTGAACATGCTTAAGTACTTTGCTCAAAGGTTCAGCTTTGTTTTACCTTCTCCTGGGACTCGAGTCTGCGACTGTTCCATCACACGGCCAGCTACACACAGTCCCCTAGCAGCTACACCACCTGCCACCACACGCGTCCAGACGGCGATGTCGAGGGGCCGCCACTTTTGTTTAATGTTTCCTCGTTTTGCGGATCTTCAGTCGGCCGTTGGCTTTCACCGCTTGCAACTAATTAAGGAGCAGATTACTATGCTTCTTAATTGTTGAAGAAGTATAGTAATCTGCAATTAATTGAGTTGTGGACACTCCTGGAGAAAAAGTTCAACTTCAGAGCTACTTAATCACTTTAAAAGCTTTTGGTGGTACATGTATTTAAACCGTTTTAAGGATAGTTAAGCATTGTGCCATATAAACTATAAAAGTGAGGGAGAATATCCCACTACAAACAAGAGTCTAAGTAAAAATTCATGTTATTTGAAAAGCAAAACTGCGTCCACTCGAATGGATTGCAAACCGGTCTTCCTAAATATGCAGCACAAATCTTGTGCTTAGAGTGCAATGTAACTGAATTGGCAGTTCCATTCATCAAAGGACGTGTGGCTTAGGACACCCGAGACATCTGATTGGCCGAAATCCAGTCAGGAGTCTCCTTTTGGCCTCTCATTGGCCGTCGTTTGAATGAGGCTTGGCCAATCGCCTGCGATGCATCATCTGCAGTGTCCAGTTGTAAATGTGGGGAGCGCATGCATGGGCCCTTTCTCCATTGTGAGTGCCGGCCGGCCCCCTTTTTTTGTGTTGGTCAGTTTGTCCTTCGTTTCTGGCTGAGGCCCTTTCTGAGTAGGGGCTCAGCGAGGGACATGAATCGGTTCCAGGGGTCCCCAAAACCCCCATATTTTTTTGGACAGGAGAAGGAAATTCTCTGCATCTGCCTATCAAACGCTGCAGCATCACCCTTAACAAAGAAGGGTCAGATGTTATGGTTTTCGTGGCACCGTGTGGCGCTTCTGTCCTGGGGGGGGGGGGGGGCTGGGTCAAAAAAAATTAATCCTGTTGCACAATGTTCACACCTCCCTTTGTTGTACTTGTGAAAAATACAAGTCGTTCTGAAAAATAATGCATGTCATTGGTTACCATGGTGAATCGGCTGTGGTGGTACCCCGGGCAGGATGCTCTCTGGATCAGGCCCGCACGGGGCCGGGCATTACATCCAGTCCAGTAGATTTCATGGTACCGAATGTTTTTCTGTTGTCAAAAAGCGTAGCACACGTGATTTTTCTTGAGGAAATATTAAAACAGAACAGAATAATCTTCACGTATGGGAGTGGCTGAATGTTTCCCCCAAGTTCCTTCTCAGAAGGTTGGAGAAAATAAAATCTGGATATTTTAACGAGGATTACTTTAAAAAAGGAACGCTTGGGTAGTGGCTGCTTTAGGGTGATGGATGCACGGGAAAGCCACACGCCGGCGTCAATCGGGAACGCATCACTTTTACGGCGTTCCTGGGTGCATCGATCCTGCGAACGCGGAGCTTAGCTGTCAGCTTTGCGCACAGCCTGTACTTGTTGCAAGACGGGTCTTGGCAGAGGAGGACGAGAGAGATGGATGAAAGTGAGATCTAGACAAGAGACACTAAAAGGAATATCATGCTCTGCATTTCAGCTCGGCACACATTACATTAGGAAATATATGTTTCTCCAGGATATTTTACCGTGGAAATGAATCACGTCAGTTTGGCAGTTACATTACTATTCATAAGAGATTTAAAGAGAGAGAGCGTGTTTACAGCGGCAGATAATCAGAAGTTATAACTTTCTCTCAGTGGATAATAACATGGCACGCTTTCATTATTTGGCTGCTACATCTAGCTTGTAATTTCTCATTGCATGTCATAATTTGGCTGTGCTGTTACATTC